CGTCCCCTAATGAAAACAAAAACCTATCTTTACACGCCCAATAATAACCCAAGTAACACATAGACGTAACATCGTCCCCTAATGAAAACGAAAACGTATCTTTACACGCCCAATATTAACAGACGTAACATATAAACGTTATGTCGTCCCCTCATGAAATCACAATCGTAACTTTGCACGTCCAATAATAACTGACGTAACATATAAACGTAACGTCGTCCCTAATGAAAACACAAACGTACTTTTACACGCCCAATAATAACCCACGTAACATATAGACGTAACATCGTCCCCTAATGAAAACAAAAACCTATCTTTACACGCCCAATAATAACCCAAGTAACACATAGACGTAACATCGTCCCCTAATGAAAACGAAAACGTATGTTTACACGCCCAATATTACGAGCGTAACATATAAACGTAATGTCGTCCCTAATGAAAACACAATCGTAACTTTGCACGCCCAATGATAACTGACGTAACATATAAACGTAACATCGTCCCTGATGAAAGCACAATCGTAACTTTACACGCCCAACAATAACCCAAGTAACATATTGACGTAACATCGTCCCTAATGCAAACACAATCGTAACTTTACACGGCGAATAATAACTGACGTAACATATAAACGTAACGTCGTCCCTAATGAAAACACAAACGTATCTTTACACGCCCAATATTAACTGACGTAACATATAAGCGTAATGTCGTCCCCTAATGAAAACAAAAACGTATCTTTACACGCCCAGTAATAACCCACGTAACATCGTCCCCTAATGAAAACACAATCGAAAATTTACACGCCCCAAAATAACTGACGTAACATATAAACGTAACGTCGTCCCCTAATGAAAACACAATCGTAAATTTACACGCCCAATAATAACTGACGTAACATATAAACGTAACGTCGTCCCTAATGAAAACACAATCGTAACTTTACACGCCCAATAATAACTGCCGTAACATATAAACGTAACGTCGTCGCCTAATGAAAACAAAAACGTACCTTTACACGCCAACTAATAATCCACGTAACATATAAACGTAACGTCGTCCCCAAATGAAAACAAAAACGTAACTATACACGCCCAATTATAACTGACGTAACATATAAACGTAACGTCGTCCCTAATGAAAACACAATCGTAACTTTACACGCCCAATGATAAGCCACGTAACATATAAACGTAACTTCTTCCAACTTCTCCTAAGTTCCACATTCACAAATACTTTGATTACATGTGTTACAAGGGGAGCGCCATTACAGAGAGACAGACAGCCAACTAGCTTGATACAAAGAGATATATCGACAATAATTAGGTAGAACTGCATTCAGGAGTTTAAGGAATGCTTCAGTCGCATAAAATACCTTTACAAATCTGTTACATGCTGACGTTCATGCTAAACTTTGAAATTGTGGGCCAGCTGTATCAGTTGTGATGCTGCGATCAAATGGTTGTAAAAAGCAGAAAGAGGTCAACGCCTTTATGACACTACAAGTTCCAAACAGACTAGGAAGTACCGATTTCACAATAGAGAAAACACTATGCTATAAGTCAGAGCACATGGCATGCTCTCCTGTATGTGTAATTGGTCCACTCCGATTCGCTTTGCCCATTAACTGTGCACTTTGCTGTGAAGGAGACTCGCTGGTGTGTGGAGATCTATCTGCAACACCCCCACGGCGTCTACTGTAAAATAAATATCTCAGTAGACTACACTGTCCAATGCCAAACCTCCTCTCGCAGAACTCGATATGCAGGAGTGACACTGGGTTCGAGAGTGCTCGTAACATCATTATTTTGGGGCGTTTATCTTGTGCATGAGCTTGGCAATATTGGGTCAGACGATAGCAAACTAACGGCAAGGGTCCTAATATTGTACTTTAGGCGATATGAGAAACGTTAAACAAGCGATCATCTTTACTGTGAACTTTGGGTGTGGGTTTAGTGGGTGTATACACAGGTGGGGAGGAAGACTCGACCCATACGCTGCTCAAGCCTCTTGTAATTAACCGAATGCCGTCTTCATGTTTGTCATCTCCGGTTAAACTACTGTTTTATTCCAGGTCTGTTTGATCCAAAGTCAGGGCGGAACAAATGGCAAATAGTCGGTGCTTGACCATTCAGAAAGAATGGGTCCTAATGAAAACGGCCAACGTTGAAAACGGCCACTGCGCAATTAGGGAAAACAGCTACTACATGGAAGAAAACGCCAAATAGGGTTAGTGAAAACGGCCAATAGGGTCAGTGAAAACGGTCACTGCATGGAAGAAAACGGCTAATAGGGTCAGTGAAAACGGCTACTGCATGGAAGAAAACGGCCAATAGGGTCAGTGAAAACGGCCAATGGGGTTTGTGAAAACGGTCACTGCATGGAAGAAAACGGCCAATAGGGTCAGTGAAAACGGCCAATGGGGTTTGTGAAAATGGCTACTGCATGGAAGAAAACGGCCAATAGGGTTATTGAAAACGGCCAATAGGGTCAGTGAAAACGGTCACTGCATGGAAGAAAACGGCCAATAGGGTCAGTGAAAACGGCTACTGCATGGAAGAAAACGGCCAATAGGGTCAGTGAAAACGGCCAATGGGGTTTGTGAAAATGGCTACTGCATGGAAGAAAACGGCCAATAGGGTTATTGAAAACGGCCAATGGGGTTTGTGAAAACAGCTACTGCATGGAAGAAAACGGCCAATAGGTTCAGTGAAAACGGCAACAACATTTAGTGAAAACGGCCTGTGGATTTATAATAGAAAAAGAAATAACAAGTATTATAGCTAGCTAGCTTCTACAATAAAAGCACTGAAACGAGATCTTCTCATTCAAGGTGAACTTTATACAATGGATCAGTCAAAGTTCGGCAGAAACCATTTCACTGTCGGTTTTTAAAGATGAGTAACAAGTTTAATCTTCTAACTGAAATACAATCACAATATTAAAAGCAATTGATAGTCCAACAAAGTACACCACTATTAAAACGTTATAGAGTACACAGGCCGTTTACACCATTCGTGGGTGTCGTATTCTCCAAGCTGGCCGTTTTCATTAACCCTTTTGGCCGTTTTCGCTTATGCTGGGCCGGTTTTTTTTCTAATTACCGTTTTCAACGTTGGCCGTTTTCTGCAGTTCCCGAAAGAATCCACAACATGAATATTATGTCATTGGGTATCTCTTGAGATGAAAGTAAATCAAATTAAACGAGCTTAGGAAAGTATTTCTGAAAAATATATTAGCTCATTTTTATATTTTACTTTAGAAAAATCCCTTATCGGTTAACGGATTTTTATAACAAAATCTGAATTTGTAAAGAAACTCTAAACTCTGTGTTAAATCAATCCATTTAACAGTGAGAGCAAAATATTAATGATTGCCAGGCGAAGGTAGCATGACAAGATTGCCAACAGAACTCACTAAGCTTGAACGACATGATCGCCACCTCCATCTCTACCTTCACCCTCAACACCTCCACCCTCACCCTCAACAACTCCACCGTCAACATCTCCACCTCCACCGTCAACATCTCCACCTCCACCCTCAACATCTCCACCTCCATCTCCATCCTCGACCTCAACACCTCCACCGGCAACATCGCCACCTCCATCTCTACCTTCACCCTCAACACCTCCACCCACACCCTCAACACCTCCACCGTCAACATCTCCACCTCCACCGTCAACATCTCCACCTCCATCTCTACCTTCACCCTTAACACCTCCACCCTCACCCTCAACACCTCCACCGTCAACATCTCAACTCCACCCTCAACATCTCCACCTCCATCTCCATCCTCGACCTCAACACCTCCACCCTCAACATCGCCACCTCCATCTCTACCTTCACCCTCAACACCTCCACCCTCACCCTCAACACCTCCACCGTCAACATCTCCACCTCCACCCTCAACATCTCCACCTCCATCTCCATCCTCGACCTCAACACATCCACCCTCACCCTCAACACCTCCACCGTCAACATCGCCACCTCTATCACTACTTTCACCCTCAACACCTCCACTCTCACCCTCAACACCTCCACCGTCAGCATCTCCAACTCCACCCTCAACATCGCCACCTCCATCTCTACCTTCACCCTCAACACCTCCACCCTCACCCTCAACAACTCCACCGTCAGCATCTCCACCTCCACCCTCAACATCTCCACCTCCATCTCCATCCTCGACCTCAACACATCCACCCTCACCCTCAACACCTCCACCCTCAACATCTCCACCTCCATCTCTACCTTCACCCTCAACACCTCCACCCTCATCCTCAACAACTCCACCGTCAACATCTCCATCTCCACCCTCAACACCTCCACTCTCAACACCTCCACCCTCAACATCTCCACCTCCACCCTCAACACCTCCACCCTCAACATCTCCACCTCCACCGTCAACATCTCCACCTCCATCTCTATCTTCACCCTTAACACCTCCACCCTCACCCTCAACACCTCCACCGTCAACATCTCCACCTCCACCCTCAACATCGCCACCTCCATCTCTACCTTCACCCTCAACACCTCCACCCTCACCCTCAACAACTCCACCGTCAACATCTCCACCTCCACCCTCAAAACCTCCACTCTCAACACCTCCACCCTCAACATCTACACCTCCACCCTCAACACCTCCACCCTCAACATCTCCACCTACATCTCAATCCTCGACCTCAACACCTCCACCCTCCCCCTCAACACCTCCACCGTCAACATCTCCACCTCCACCCTCCACACCTCCACTCTCAACACCTCCATCTTCAACATCTCCACCTCCACCCTCAACACCTCCACCATCAACATCTCCACCCTCAACACCTCCACCCTTAACATCTCCACCCTCAACATCTCCACCCTCAACACCTGCAACCTCACTCTCAACAACTGCAACCCCACTCTCAACACCTGCAACCTCACTCCCAACACCTGCATCCTCACTTCACACCTCACCTTCAACACCTCCACTCTTAATCCTAAACACCTGCATCCTTAATGCTCAACACATCCGACCTCACCCTCAACACACCCAACCCTCAACACCTGCATCCTCACTCTCAACACCTGCATCTTCACTCCCAACACCTGCATCCTCACTCCCAACACCTGCAGCTTCACTTTCAACACCTGCAACCTCACCCTCAACACCTGCAACCTCACCTTCAAGAAACCTAGCCTCACTCTCAACATCTGCAACCTCACTCTCAACAAGTGCAACATCACTTTCAACACCTGCAACCTCACCCTATACCTCACCCTCAACACCTGCAACCTCACCCTAAACACCTGCAACCTCACCTTCAAGACATCCAGCCTCACTATCAACATCTGCAACCTGACTCTCAACAAGTGCAACATCACTTTCAACACCTGCAACCTCACCCTATACCTCACCCTCAACACCTGCAACCTCACCCTAAACACCTGCAACCTCACCTTCAAGACATCCAGCCTCACTCCCAACACCTGCAGCTTCACTTTCAACATCTGCAACCTCACCCTCAACACCTGCAACCTCACCCTAAACACCAGCAACCTCACCTTCAAGACATCCAGCCTCACTCTCAACATCTGCAACCTCACTCTCAACAAGTGCAACCTCACCCTCAACACCTGCAACCTATGTCTCAATACCTGCAACCTCACTCACAACACCTGCATCCTCACCCTCAACACCTGCATCCTCACTCTCAACACCTGCATCTTCACTCCCAACACCTGCATCCTCACTCCCAACACCTTCAGCTTCACATTCAACACCTGCAACCTCACCCTCAACACCTGCAACCTCACCCTAAACTCCTGCTACCTCACCTTCAAGACATCCAGCCTCACTCTCAACATCTGCAACCTCACTCTCAACAAGTGCAACATCACTTTCAACACCTGCAACCTCACCCTATACCTTACTCTCAACACCTGCAACCTCACCCTAAACACCTGCAACCTCACCTTCAAGACATCCAGCCTCACTATCAACATCTGCAACCTGACTCTCAACAAGTGCAACATCACTTTCAACACTTGCAACCTCACCCTATACCTCACCCTCAACACCTGCAACCTCACCCTATACCTCACCCTCAACATCTGCAACCTGACTCTCTACACCTGCAACCTGACTCTCTACACCTGCAACCTGACTCTCAACATCTGCAACCTCACCCTCTACCTCACCTTCAAGACATCCAACCTCACTCTCAACACCTGCAACCTCACTCTCAACACCTGCAACCTCACCCTCAACACCTGCAACCTCACTCTCAACACCTGCAACCTCACCCTTAACACCTGCAACCTCACTCTCAACACCTGCGTCCTTACTCTCAACATCTGCAACCTCACCCTTAACACCTGCAACCTCACTCTCAACACCTGCGTCCTTACTCTCAACATCTGCAACCTCACTCACAACACCTGCATCCTCACTCTCAACACCTGCATCCTCACTCTCAACACCTGCATCCTCACCCTCAACCTCACTGTCAACACCTGCAACCTTACTCTTAACACCTGCAACCTCACTCTCAACAACCATCTCATTCCTGCAAAACGTAAAAGGATTTGACCGGCCAGGCGTGACATAACCTGGCATACTGTGTAGAGCTGTGTTAACAGGGCAGCGCCGACTTTGGGTCTACACTGTTATAAGCGGTACAGTGGTCATCATGTGCTTTCATTACTCACATTATTTTCACCGTTAAGTCTTCATAATTATCTAAACGTGCCACAATATAAATATAATGCTCTATGACACATGCTCATACCACAGAGTTTACATCATCTGTCAAACTGAAAAGTTTCACCTCGATAAAATGACCCACACTTTAAATTAAATACAAATATAGATGTGTTATCAATATCAATGTAAACTTCCTTATCCTGCACAGGTGCTTGTCTCCAGTATTTTACACATAAGAACGTTAACTTGACAAATCTAAATATCAGTTTAAAGTTGAAATAGTTTGATTATGTCAGTTCTAACCGTACACCAACCGTATCACAAACAGAAGTTATCCTGTTTATATCAACTCGATTATATCTTTATAAACAACCAAATATTACACGCTATGCTATACTTCCGGCTCTACATACTCCGTCTGTATGTAGCTGTAGAGAAAATAGGGATATTATAATGTCTAATGCCAAACACATTTTCCGAATATCCCAAGTCCCCTGACAAGGGTTGCTAGACTGATGAGCTCGGTGGCGCACATAGTGTGCACATCATGGACAGAGGTCTACAAAGACAACAGGTGAAGAGGGTGCCGAGTCCAAGGCAAACCGATATCCCGCGGTCGGTTCCGCCCGGACAAGGTTGCGACACTAAACTGTCTGGCAAGAACACTGGCTGAGTAAAAAAAAAGTTGTGGTTTGGCTATAGTGGTTTTCAGGCTGCGTAGTCATCCTACCACAATCATTTCTGATTGCGAACGTTCCTGAACCTCTGGATTGTGGCTCTGATAAGCTTCAGGTCCCCTCATAGTAAGCATGCCAGTAGCTTCCTGACGCTAAATTTGTATTAAGGTGGCATGTTCAGCTGTTAAATTAAGTGATTTCAAAATGTGGTTTTCCTCCAGACAGTCAAGTCTTTCCAGCGTCAAGCTTAATATCGCCCATCAGTGCAGGACATGCTTGTCCGTTCCTGGTTTTCACTGATCCATAAATATACTCAACAACATAAGTTCTGTGACACCAATATTTTAGTGTATATTTCAAACAAGTAAAGTTTGGTTTTCAATATTGTAGTACATGTATGGAATCAAGTCACAAAAACGCAACTCCTACTGAAAAGCATGCATTCCATGCAAACGTTGACTTTTATTCAAGCCCCATGCATTTCACTACCCAAGAATGGGTATAGAAACATGTGCGTTAACGGGATTCCATATGCATTGTTTAGCATCGTGCTGACAACAGCCACTCAGAAAAACAACAAAATTACGCAATTATTCAACATTACGAAATGCCACGCCTGTCCGAAAATGAGCGTATGCGAGCCATTGGTATGCTTGAAGCAGGATCGAGTCAACGTGATGTTGCAAGACAATTTAACGTCCACAGAAACACCATTTGGTGTTTATGGCAACGTTGGCAACAGACGAATGCAGTCAGAGACCATCCTCGGAGTGGCAGGCCACGCGTAACCAATAATCGACAAGATAACTGGATTCGAACAACATACCTACGAAATCGATTCCAGCCAGCAACAGTGACTGCAAGAAGCATCCCTGGCCTTCGACGACTATCTTCACAAACCGAACGTCGTCGCCTCAGATGTGCAGGGATTGTCGCCAGAAGACCCGCCAGACGTCCCATTTTGACAGGAAACCACCGTCAAGCACGTCTACAGTGGTGCAGACAGCGTCTACGCTGGACGGCCATGCAGTGGGGACAAGTTCTATTCACGGACGAGTCTCGTTTTCACCCCAGCCACAGCGATGGACGGATTCGAGTGTACCGACGTCGAGTTGAACGTTACGTCAATCATTGTGTCATGGAAGAAGATCGGTTCGGGGGCGGCAGCATTATGGTATGGGGTGGGATTACAGCAAGACAGACGACCCGTTTGATAGTGGTAGAGGGAAATCTCAAAGGACAGCGCTACCGCTCGGCCCTGTTGTTCTACCGTTTTTGCGTCGTCAAGGCCCAGGCATTACCTTTCAACATGACAACGCCCGGCCTCATATTGCTCGACTTGTTCAGGATTCTCTTCAACAAAACAACGTGAATGTCATCCCCTGGCCAGCTAGCTCCCCTGATCTCTCACCAATCGAGCACATGTGGGATGAGATGGATCGGCGCCTTCGATGTCAACCACGTGTTCAACAGACACTCCAGGAACTTCGAAACATGCTCCAGCAGATATGTAAAGGATAAAACACGCCCCAAGGGTTTGGTTGAAAATGTAAACACGAGGCAGAGTGACAAAACCGAGGTCCGGAGGCCCGAGGTTTTTTCCTGAGGCAGAGTGTTTACCTTTTCAACCAAACCCGAGGGGAAGTGTTTTATCTGTCATATAAATCGACAGAAAATACGAAAAATGCACTTTTTCATGACAAATTTTATTTGGGTATTTTGTATTTGGATAATTGTAATGCAGGGAGGAGGGAAACTCAAAAACGAATACACCCAAGCACATGCGCGGGCATCAGACTTTCCATGATTTGCACGTGCTGGAAGTTCGAGATTTAAGTCGTACACGTGGGACGTCTTCTCATTTCTGTCAGCAGTACGGTGCACGACAAGAGGGAGGGAGGGAGGAGACGGCGATGATATTTTTGTGACTCAGTCGAGCGTTATTGAAATTGAGGAAAAGGATGATAGTGACCGTGAGTTTCAGTTTAGATTTGGTGATCCTCTGGACAGCATAGACATTGATAAGGAACTCGAAATTTGTGTGTACTACCTAAATCGACAAGGTACAAAAGCGACTTGGCCCTTACGGTTTTCCAAAGATGGCAAGAGGAGAGAAGACAAAGGGCTATGGATTGCAATTTGGATCTTCCGAGTGAATGTTAGACACAAAATATATTGGAAATGAAGCCTGAAAACATCGGTATAGCATTGAAATTTTTCTTATTCGAAGCACGAAAACAAGATGGAGGCCACTATCCATCATATACTATTTACGGTATATTCACTTCACTACAGTCGGCTATCAGAGCTAAAGGTTCCCACATAAATGTTTGAAGGCGAAGAGTTTGAAGTCAGTCGAAGGTGTTTGGACGCCGTCATGAGGAAACGTTCTGCCGAGGGTTTGGGGGCAACATGCAGAAAGCCAACTGAGTCCCATCACATGTGAGGAAGAGGAGCAGCTTTGGAAATCTGGGATGCTGGGTGACCAAACACGAAGACAACTGTTGGACTCAATTTTGTACCTTACAGGCAAGTTGCATTTTTGTGTATTTGTCGTTGACGTAAGTGATACGAGTTTTACTTAAAAATATAAAATTGTGTAACGAAAGTGTAAATTGCACCTAATTTTACAGACCACATTCTGACCATGAGTGAAATTCAAATTGTCATGACCCGGATTGGATAGTTGATCCGTGAAAGTCTGTACATTTAAACCGAAAAATCACAATTAGTCAAGATTAGAAACTATGTGAAACACTTTAATTCTTTTCAAGCTCTCCTTTATTTCCGTGTGTGTTGCAAGTACATAGAAAGATTTTGACCAGATCAGTAGTTTTTAAGAAAAGCAAACTGTTTGTCTTGACCTTATAATTCAAATGATTTGTAGTAGTTCTGTATAGCAAAGTTTCCATAATAAACATAATTACATTTCAAGTATATTTGTAGGTCTGCACTTCGCGCTGAGGGGAGGGAAGGAGCACAGGTCCTTGAGGATGTTCAGGAACCCACAAATTACCAGACCACATCAGGACCAGAACGGGCGACAGTTCCTTCTGTACACGGAAGATGTGTCCAAGACGAACCCCGGTGGGTTGAGTATGGTATACATTTGTATCGGTACTTTGTATACACACTCAGTATTAATCTTATGTATGTTCCCCTGTAACTGCAAGTACACAACAATCTTAAACGAACTTTAGGCTTTCTTTAAAATCGATATTCAGGTATATATATATATATATATATATGGCTTCAAAAGATGGCGAAATTGGTCTATTGAAATATCACCTACATTATAAATTGTTTTCAAAAATCTAAACTCAAATTCAAATTGCGAAGAAGAATAATGTTATCTTTCAACACTTCGTCTTATTTTTATTTACCTTAAACAGGTAACCAGTTTAATCATTGATTAGACCTCAAATGGAATATATCTTATGTTCGTATTATATTGTTGATGTTAGTATTTTTACTGTTTTTGTAGTGAAGACAGAAAGAAGACTGACTTCTATTTCACCCCCCGAACCATGCCGAAGGATGTAAAATGGTACCTACAGACACCTGTTGGGCATAACACGCTCCAAGCCACGGTCAAGCGCCTGTGCA